TACGTAGTCAATGGAAATAATACCATTTGTGATCAATTGGCGAACGGTATTATGTCCACGACGAATATGTCTAGACTTACCGTTGTACATGTTACTTTGCGCCCTTCCTATAGTGGCTTGGCTATCACAGTGAATCATCACAGGCGACAAAGGTTTATTCCAACATGGAATATCGGATAAGAAGTTTCGAAGCCACTCAGCTTCTTCATCAGCTTTATCTAAAGCGATGAACTCCGACTCCATGGTTGACCGAGCTATACATGTTTGTTTTGTAGACTTCCACGAAACAGCTCCTCCTCCAATACAGAAGACATATCCACTTGTGGAGTGAGAATCTCTCGAATCTGTTATCCAGCTTGCATCACAATATCCTTCAAATACTGCTGGATATCTCGAGTATTTTAGCCCGTATCCAAGGGTGTACTTTAAGTACTTCAGTACCCTTTTCAAAGCATTCCAGTGCTCATGACTGGGATTGCTCGTAAATCTACTCAACTTATTCACCGGATAGGCCAAGTCTGGTCGTGTACAGTTCGTCAAGTACATTAGACACCCTATAATCCGTGAATATTTCAATTTAGCAACTGGTTGACCTTTATTGGCTTCCAGATTTATGCTAAGATCAAGGGGTGTCCTAGACAAAGGACCTTCATAGGCATTAAATTTCTTGAGCACTTTCTCTACGTAATGAGATTGTGACAAGACATTTCCATCTTGGGTTCTGATAATTCTTATTCCAAGAATTACATCAGCTAAACCCATATCTTTCATGTCGAAATTTCTTTTCAACATTCATTTCGTATCCATGATCACGTCATGGCTACTCCCCATGATCAACATATCGTCTACATATAGACATACTATTACATATGTATTTGATGTGTTTTTAACATAAACACATTTGTCACATTAGTTGATTTTGAATCCATTTGACAACATCACGTCATCAAATTTCAAATGCCATTGTTTCGGAGCTTGTTTAAGTCCGTACAAGGATTTGATCAATTTGCACACATTTTTCTCTTGTCCAGGTGCTACAAAACCTTCGGGTTGTTCCATGTAAATCTCTTCTTCTAATTCACCATTCAAAAATGCCGTTTTGACATCCATTTGATGAATCTCAAGATTGTGCAAAGCAGCAATCGAGAGAAGCACTCTAATTGACGCTATACGTGTCACAGGTGAATAAGTATCAAAGAAGTCGTACCCTTGTTTTTGTTTAAAGCCTTTGACCACTAATCTTGCTTTAAACTTATCAATCGTTCCATCAGCTTTGTATTTTCTTTTTAGGATCCACTTGCATCCTAGAGATGTACAACCCGCAAGGAGATCAACCAACTCCCAAGTATGATTTTGCATAATGGACTCGATTTCGCTATTTATAGCTTCTTCCCAGAGTGGTCCATCTGGGCTAGACAGAGCTTCCTTAATGGAACTCGGTTCATCGCCTAACATATACGTAATAAAATCAGGTCCAAACGTTTTTGCCGTTTTTACCCTTTTACCACGTCTCGGTTCTTCTTCTTTATATTTAGTACTATCTGGTACAGAACCGCTAACAGTTTCATACGTCCTTTTGTTAGAACTAGATTCTGCCCTTTCCTTCAAAGAAAAAATATTCTCGAAGAATATAACATTCCTCGACTCAATAGTGGTACCAACCGATA